ATGGCTTTGCTTATAAGCTTCCTCCCCTGCCAAAGCGCACTGTTCTTCCAGAAATTGTTTCACTTCAGAAGACTTTTTTTTTAAACATTCAAAGCTGTATTTTATGTTCAGACTTAATGCTGGTCAGCCCAGAGACTCAGACACACTGCCACCTCTGCTGGTGGTTTTGCAAATAAAAATAACTTGCTTTCTTTTTGCTGACAAAGGTTCTTTTTCAATTGCAAGAATAATTTCTAGTGTTTCAGACCTTGGATCTAAGACAATGCTTTATTCAGCTTTGATTTATAAACAGACTAAGCGGTTTTGTGAACAGGAGTCTGGAATTAATGTCTGGATACCTCAGGCTGGGAACCTGCTGTGCAACTGTGAGGTCTTGAACTAGTCACAAAGAGCCGTGAGCCTCCGTTTTCTCTTCATCATAAGATGTTAAGTCTGGAAGGCAACCCACGCCTACTTATCCTAAAAGGTTCTGATAATCAAAAATGATAGTAAAAATTATAGATTAATCAAAATTGCTGTACAATGATAAAGGGTCCTTATTACTATGCAATGGCTAGTAATATTGCATATTTTACTCAGAGAAGAATTTTCCCTGTCATTGTTAGCAATGTTCCCATCAGTCTTTTACCAAAGGGAGTTTGCATTGTGAAAATTAATCAGGAAACCAAAACCCCAGAGCATGGCTTGCAACATACAATGAAAACAACATTGAACCATGTCAGATGATGGCAGAAGATTAAAGCTAGAAACCTGCTGTCTCTCCTTTGGAAGCAAGCTTTTTGTTGACTTTTATTGATATATCAGGTTGTCCACACTTCCAGAACACACCCTCTCTCCCCACTCAAAACCAATCACACTCACAGGTACATCCAGACTTGTGGATTCTCATGTATGTGACCTCACACTCCTAGAAGATATTCATATTCCAATGCAGTAATCTACATGGAGATGAAATTCTCATACAGTGGGGACCTGATTCCTAAAATTGTTATTTTAGGAAACAGTTTCATTTCTCTTGTGTGAACTGCATTATGCCCTGTATCCCCCTCCCCCTTAGGGGGGGTACCCTGTGCCCACAGCTTACTCCCTTTACTGCCCCCAGAAGGGAATACTGAGGTTCTGAAGTCAGGCTGATCTGTGTTCCAATCCTAACTCGGCTCTGGAACACTGAAGATGCGGCCTCTGTATGTCACAGAGCTCTTCTGAATCTTAAATTCTTCCCCCTCTGTTACATAGGACCAAAAAAATGGAAACCTGCACCAATGTTGTGAGGACACAGATGCCTGTGAAGAGCCCCAATCAGCTGCAGTGCTCTGATTGATATTGTTACCAAGGCCTTGTCACCGCCACTAGATCCCTGCCTTGTCCCTGGCAGGTTTCCCTGCCTGCAGCCTCCCTCCATCCCAGCTGCTCTGCACTGAGTCAGAATTTCCAGTGGAAGGGACTAGACACAAAGCGCCGCGATCTTCCCGTCACTTGCCCCCTCCCCAAGGTCCTCCCTGTCCACATGGAGAGTCCCTCACTCAGATAGCTGGTGAGACCGGCTGCCTTGCCTCGTGTCTCTCTCCCTGGCCATTCTTCTTCCCACCAGGCAGCCATTACCCTGTCCTACAAGCATGTCCATGCCACATGCGTCCCCTTCCAAGATGTTGATTTGCTTCAGCAACAGTCACTCAGCAGATGGTTCAGATAACTTACCACCCTAAGGAAATTTCTAGGAGCCTCGGGGGTGCTTCTGACATTCCTGCACAGGCTTAGAGAAGGGCTTTCAGTGGCACAAAGAGGCCACCTCTCGGGAGAAAATGTTCTGCATTGTTGATTTCTGCATTAAAGCATGCCTGTGAATGGGAGAAATTGGGGGGACGGAGGGCTTTGGGTAAGACATTCCTTTCTGAGTGGGCAAATTCCCAGTTCTTGGTACCAAACCATTGCCTGTGCCTGTGGGGCGCCGGCCCCACCTCATCACCACGTTGCCCCGGGAGGAGCTGAGGCTGCAGAAGGCTGCACTTCTGCATTGCGGCTCTGGGCTCTGCGAGACAAAGACAGAGATTGCCACCTATTGACAGATGTGCCACCTGCAAAGAGGAGTGCTCACGTAACCTGCAGCTTCTCCCTGTCTCTATGGTCTACACAAGCCAGGGTTGTTAGCTCTTGGCTTTTTCTATGCAGTCAGTCCTCCTGCTCCTCTGTATTAGCATTTCAGCGTAAGGGAAGATGGGCGGGGCCGTGGCAAGGTGATAACAGCATCCCCGTAGGAAAATTGTCCTGAAATCATTGCCTACTGTAGTAATGGCCACTTTCAGGCAGCGCTTTCAGTTCAGGCACCCTGCTGCATGCAGTACATCTCCTTTTAACCCTCACATATCCTCACAGGCCTCGGTGTTCCCATTTTACATGGGAGGAAATGAGGTTCAAAGAGAGTACCTTGCCCATCAATGACCACATAAGGAGCAGAGGCGGATGTGGGAATTCACACCTAACTGAAGCACTCTGAAGCACTTTCTCCCGACATTTGGTAATTAACAAATCACTTCCTTAACTTTAAATCCTCCTAGGTATGAAAATAAAGCAAGTATAAAAGAATTGCTTTCCCTGTGGTTAGAAAACTAGTTCTGCCACTTTCTACTTATTTAACCTCTAAGGCTCAGTTCCCTCACCCAAAAATGGGGATAGTTACCATGTCTAACTTACGGTATTGTCTTTCCTGGAGCTTAAACAAGATAATGTCTAATAATCACTTAGCAGGGGTTAGGTATTTGTTAATGGTAGCTTATTCATCTGTTGTCTGAATCTAGGTTGGAATCCAAGCTCCTGTCAGTTTTAGCTTTGGGACCTTGGGCAAGTTACTTGACCTCTCTAATCTTCAGTTTCCTTATCTATAAAACAGGGCTGATAAAATCCATGTTCTTGCAGGGGTGTCAACACAGTAAGAGGAAATCTTTAGTATGAAAACACTTTGTAGTTTTAATTGTACTATTCAGATTTTAGCCTTTACATTTTAAGTGAAGTGTACCTGTTTCCTCAAATGGATTTTTAAGATCTATTTCTGAGAAATGACTTGGGTTGAATGCAACCTGTAATAAAAGCTTTTCAATGCTCACTGAAAACAAGGTAAGATAAAAGGAGCTCCATAAATGCCCTAGGCTATTCTGCAGGAAGCTTCATAAGCATTAACATTAATAACTCTCCACAGGCACCTTGCTCTGAAGTCTATGATACACTTCCAAATATATTACTTCATAGTCACAGGGCAGAACTGATATTTATAACTCCTATTTTACAGATGGGGAAACTGAGGCTCAAAGCAGTAAAGTGACTAGCTAGGGACACACAGTAAGTGGTGAAGGTTGTGGGTGTCTGCCCGTGGAGCCGTGTGCTGATGTGTCTTTATAGGCATGTGTCTGAGCATGTTTTTTTACACATTTATTTGTCTGTGTCCCTCGGTTAGAGTGTTGTTTTGTGAAGGGGGAGGAAGGTTTTCTTATTTGAGGTTTTTCACATTGGTCAGCAATAGCCTTTTCCTTTTCTTTTTTAGAGCTGCTTTCCATTCCCAGGCACAGTTTCCAAGAGGTCCCTGCCTGGAGAATATGCTCGATTTTATCTCCATTCTTGGTTTAGGGAACAGCAGCTCTCCTGTCCTCCCAGCCTTTTGGGAATTACTTCCTTCCTCTTTTTTTCCCCTGCCTGCTGGTTTTATCGATTCTACTTAGCAACATCCATAAAGAATGGAGTGAGCAACAGCATGAGAACCAATGAAATGTGAGCGGCAAGAGTGTCTAGGCCAATGGCGTCCCTGCATGACGGGCAAGACGGCTCCCAGGAGAAAATAATACCATGGAGTTCTGCAAAGCAGCCTCCAGGTGGCAGCCGACCAGCCGTATTGGGCACAGCCCCTGGGCTCTCAACGCCCGCGTTATTTTTTGCTTTCTTTGACCTACTCTTGGATATAAAACATTTGCCGACTATGACAGTTTTACTGTTAACAAGCTTTGTGGGTGTGAGCTGTCTGCAGGACATGGTAGACTCAGTCACGGCCGGACAGGCAGAGAGGCTGGAGGAGTCACATTCTCCTGCGTGCAGCCACCTCTGCCGCTGGCCTGAGGGTCCCATGCGGTGGGGCTGGCTTTTAGCCGCCAACTATGTGGGGGAAGGAACATGCCCCCAGGAGGTTAGTGCCTGTGAACACCCACGTTTTCAGTGGCGTGGCCTGGGGCCTGCCTGTAGGTTCTGCTGCCTATGTCTCGATGAGACTGTCTGACCACAGGTGGTTGGAGGCTGATTCTGCTGTCTGTCGGTGGTTCGGCCCTTTTGGTCTTGAAGCTGGGCAGATGTGTGCAGGGGCTGAATAAGACCGTATATTGAATAACAGCAGGTCCACGTTTCTGATGGTTTAGCATCTTCCTTTTGCCTTCTGAGATGACTCTGCCTTGAGTCAGTGAGATTTTGGTCCTCCATATATCCATATTTGTCTCAAATACTCGGCTTACTCTAATCATCCTTTAGGAAAGAAGGTAAGGTATACTATCTTCAGAAAGGCTCATTTGACCCTCCCCCTTGTTCTCCCCTCCCCTCCTGCTCCCCAGTGCTCCTTTTCTGCATTTCCGTATTGCTTTCTACATGTCTCTTAATAGGTGAGTTTCCTCAGAGTCATGGAGCTTCTTGACCACAGGGACTGTGCCTTTTTACCTCCACTTCTTAGCTTAGTGTCAGTATGTAGTGGGTGCTCCATAAATGCTTTTAGAAGAAAGGAATCAGGTAAGAAACACTTGGTCTTCAAGAAACAATATGAGAGACTCAGTGAGCTGGCCCTGGACTGGAGCAGAGCCTGTGAGGCTGGTGCTGGCTGTAGGGGACAGTTTCTAGCTGTTCAGGACACTTCAACACCGTGAGCCGAGACCCCAGGCCAAGGCCCAGGCCTGGAAGATAATCAACCACCATTGGCTCATCCTATGATGGGCTCATCTCAGTGACACGCTTTCCTTTGTGATTTTGTGCTTTAGGAAGAACTAAGGAGCAAATCCAAGATCTGTGCCAATGTGTTCTGTGGAGCCGGCCGGGAATGTGCAGTCACAGAGAAGGGAGAGCCCACCTGCCTCTGCATCGAGGTAAGTCCTGAGGTGGAGAGCAGAGGACAGGGGCCAAAGCTGCGTGGCTACGGCTGGAGCTGCCGGTCAGCAGAGCGGTGCCAGCGATTTCATCATCTTTCTGTTGGAAAGACATGGAATTTTCATCCCAGAAGTTAAAAATTAGATGTGAATGCAGAGATACTTTTTCTTTCCAGTTGATGCTTAGCTTTATTAGATTTTTACATTAAAAAATTAACAGGTGCTTTATATAAGCCAAATAGTAAAGATGTTTGTACAAAATTAATAATCTTCCCCATAACCCCAAATTCCATTAGTCTCAGATAACCAGTGTTAACAGGTTATCTGTTAACATACCATTACTATGCTACTATAAACGTATAAGGTTTCCCCCTATTTTATGTAAGAATGGTATCATAAAAAATATTTAGTGATTAATAAAAGAACCAAATTTATATAATCATTTTCCTATAGATAGACATTTAGATTGTTTCATGGGCTGTTTACCACTGCAAATAATAATGTCCTGTGCACGTGTCCTTACATGCTGCTGCTTTTGTTTCTGTAGGTTTGATTCTCACTGGGGCTTGCTGGGTCAAAGGATACGCACATTTTTTAAAGATAGGAAGGTAGAATGTGTATTTTGCATGTTTGGTTTTGTTTTTAATAAAGTTTAGAAAGGAAAGGGAGTTTGTGAGAAATACTTTGTAAGCAGGATTCTAGTAAGTTCTCAGTCTTCAGACAAACATAAATACCTGTGGATGTGTGTCATTTTTTCCCCTTTCTGTCCAACCAACCCAAGCCTGGATATACATCTGCCTTCCTACAAAATGTATACACACAACTTAGTCCCCAGGTGAAGGATCCCCTTCCGTTGCCCCAGAAAGGAAGTCTCCCAGCTCAGAAACCTGAGAACTCGACTGGTGGGGACCCTGAGAGGGTCTCACTAGGGGTGTGCCGGTCTCTGTGTGGTGGCCTGAGCCTGGACTCCGTCCAGAAACCTGCTGTCTAGTCAACATCGACTACATACAGTTGTGTGATTTTGAGCAAGTTGGTTGCCACTGGGTGGTTGAAGATAAGAGATCATGTTTGGCTTTGCCTGGATCCTAGCACATAGTAATAACTCAATAATTAGTATTGGTTAAATGAAGTTCCTCTTTCTGGGCTTTGGTATTCTCATCTATAAATTGGAGGGGTTGGGCTGCCTTCTGCTTCCTGTGTTCTGTTTCTTTCCACTGCGTCTGCTCAGTCTTGCTTTTGATGTCTTTATTAGGTCTGAGCTGAACTCGCTTTTCCCCTTTATCCCCTTTCAAAAACCACAAAAATCTCGAGAAACTGAGCTTGCTTGTGACCACAGCACTTTAAATAGCCAAAACAGAACAGGGTTGCCAAATGAACTTTAATCCATCTCCCTGTCCATAATGATTCTCTGTAATACTTCGTAAAGACCCAGGCATCCCCACCCCTAGCCTCACAATAGGCATTGTGAGATTAGGAGGAAAACAGAATGGCCCTAAATACTAAACAAAGCAAGAGAGCAAAGATCCTTGTAGTTAGACCCCAGAAAAGCTGAAGAATTGTGGGGGGTGGGGTTTGCCTGCCTTTCAGCCTCTCCACATTCCCTGCCCTCACTTCTGGCTACTTTGTGTCACTGAATGTTGGAATTTTAAGGCATCTTTAGGTCATCCAAAGACATTGAGTGACCTTCTCCAAAGTGAGAAGTCTAAATAAATTCTCTCAAAGAAGAGAACCTAAATAAATTCCTGACTTCTAATAATAATAGTAAGTAAATAAATGATTTTTTAAATTACTGTTATTTTATTATTTTACTATTTATTATTAGAATTTCTGCTAATTCGATGGGGTCAGAGTAGTCTCACTAAGTAGAAGAGATGACCCTAAACCAGGATTGGCACATAGAGCCACGTAGCACTGCAAGGTGTTGGGGGCCTGTACCACTGAGCTGGTGGAGGTGCTGATATCAGAGCTGAGGTTCCCTGTGCCCTGGGGGGAGCCGCCTCTGGAGATGGCCCCACACATGTGCACGCACTGGCACCCTTGACTACACGAACCTCCTCCTTGGTACTGTTGCAGCAATGCAAACCTCACAAGAGGCCTGTGTGTGGCAGCAATGGGAAGACCTACCTCAACCACTGTGAGCTGCATAGAGACGCCTGCCTCACTGGATCCAAAATCCAGGTCGATCATGATGGCCACTGCAAAGGTAAGGTGTGCTGTCACCACCGCGTCGCGACTCCAACAGCTGGAGCCAGGGAAGAAAGCAGTGTGACCTGGTGGCCTGGGGTCCTTTCTACCTAGCACAGTGCCCAAAGCCATGTGCTCAGATATGCACCCTCTTGGTGCTGGTGAGCCTGCTGGGTTTTCCCTGAACGGCCCAGGCCTCTGCCTAGCGTTTCTTGAATCAGACCCCCAGGGGGCTTCTAGCACTGTCTGCAGCTGGATAGTGGATATGGGACCACATGAAACTCATAGGAGGTGTTTAAGTGAATTCTAAACCTTTTTAAAAAGCAGGTAAATTTCACTTTTCCCGTGCTTTTAAAATTTATTTGGGTACCCCTTATCCCTGGTAGTACTCTATTTCCTCCATTTTGCCCTCAAACCATTCCCATTAGGATAAGATGGAAGGGGTCTCAAGCTTGTTGCTAATTAGACAGTAGCCCTCTGCCAAGCCACAGCCCACCCAACCCCTCTTGGCCTTGAGCTTCCCAGAAGAAGCAAATAGCTATTTCCCACATACTGGTCTCCACTTCCCTGTCCACAATAATTCCATATGAACTCCCATGTAATTCCTTAAGACTCAGGAACTCCCGTCACACCCACTAACCTAACAGGCAGAGATGTGAGACTAGGAAGACAACTCGGTGGCCCCAAATGTCAGAGCAGGAAAGAGAACATCCCTATATATGGGCTTAAGAGAAGCAAAGGAGACGAGGACTCAGGACAAGATTATGGAAAGGTGGCCCCCTTGATGCGGGGCAGTGCTACTCTAACAATCCACAAAAACGTTTTTTTTGCTCTGCTTTGCACTATGCATTTTCCCCTTTTGTATTGCAGAGAAGAAATATGTAAGTCCATCTGCCAGCCCAGGTGAGTGCCTGTTTCTACAGTGTGTGTCTTAGGGAAGAAACTCATTTTGTGACGTAAGTTTTATGTCCTGCCAATCCTACCGAAGCTCATGTGATCCTGTGTGTCAGAACTCGTGACCCAGAACTGGTCACTCAGTACAGCTCCGAAACTGCAAAACTGCATTTTTTGGTGGCTGCCTTTTGAAGCAGCTGGTTGTTTTAGAATGCTGGCTGTGTTTACCATTTTTGCTGAGTATGATGGACCTGCAAGGACAGAAAGCCACTGATCTTTCCTTCAGTGCTCTGTAAGACATGATGATGTCACAAGACTATCAGAATCAGAAGGCACAGATCTTTTTGGAAAGGGATAATTGAAAATGCCAGTAAGACTTTTTCATGGTTTTCTATGAATAAAAATTTAAATTCTGTCAATTTATAGTTACAGACCCCTGTAGCATATGCTTATTTCCCCTTAGGTCCTCACAATAACCTTGTGAGATAGGTCTTAATGTAATTGCCTTATGATGAGGAAATTGAGGCTCTGAGAGGCTTTCCCCAAGTCACACAGCTGGGAAGTGGCAGAGTTGGGTGTCCATATCTTCACCTCCCCACCCTCACCTCCCCGGCTCATTGCCCTTCTCACATCCCAACATGTGTTGTCTTCCAGGAATTCCCTTTTGCCAAGGCTTTCCCTTCTGTGCTTCCCCATCCACTCAACTCTCCACTCAACACATGTTTCCATGTGTCTTACAACAGTTGTCCAGAGCTGGGCTTCAACATCGCCCTTCCTAGGCCTCGTTTTCTATTGTTTATAACAAAGGATAATGCAGACAGTATAAATTTTAAGTGGGAGAAAGTTTTGAAAAACCCATTTGGTGAGAGAGGGAAAAGCTATAGAGAGAGAATAAAAAATCCAGTGGCATAAAGCACTGCATTGTTCTCTTTATTCATCTATTATTTCAGCTCATATTTGAGCCAGGAGAGCTGTTCTATTGATTGATGCTCCCCCCCACCCCCAGAGCTTCCTAAAGTTAACTAAAATGTTCTTCATTTTTTTCTGCTCTGCTTTTTTCTCACCTAAGCAACCTAATCTCTCTGTTTCTGTATTGTAGTTCTTGTAAGTTCTTTAGAGCATGAGTTTGAATCCTGGTTCAGATTCTATCCAGGTGTGCACCCTGGGGTTGACTCCTCTGCCAACTGTGATGACACCATTGAAAATTCAATGAGACGTCCCATGCACAACCCTGGATGCTGAGCCTCCCACGTAGCGGGTGCTGGGTGACACTGGGGGCCCTTACAGCCCAGCTGACCTCCCTCCCCTCTCCTGCAGTTGTTTGCTATCAGTCCCACCGCGATGAACTCCGGCGTCGCATTGTGCAGTGGCTGGAAGCAGAGATCATTCCAGATGGCTGGTTCTCTAAAGGCAGCAACTACAGTGAGATCCTAGACAAGTACTTTAAGGTAATCCAGAGTTGGGGTCAAAGACTGTTCAGCCCCAGAGAAAGGGAAACTTCCTCTCCCATTGCCTGATCACATCTTCCTAGACCATGAGGAAATACCAGCCCGCAGAGTCCTGAGCATTCCTCATCAGAGGCCATTCCATGAAGCTGTCACAGTTGCCTTCTGACCATCTTGATCAGTGGGAGGCAAGCAGTAGAGCCTTTGGGATGTAATTAATGCACGTATACAAAGCCACAGAGGTCTTGGAGAGACTGTCCATGAAAATTATCCCCCTACCCTGTATGACACCTTATAGCTTTGGCAGCTGGTACAAAATAACTTCTGAAATCTAACCCAGACCCAGGCTGCATGTGTCTGCCTCTCTGCTACCCAGGTTGACATTTCTCAGGAAGTCATTAACTTGACCGCCCCTGGCCTGCAGAGCCCTGCTTCATCTGAGAAGCCAGAGGACTGGCATTTCATGGCTGCAGGGTTCCTCATGAACCTAGAGGCTGCTGTTCCCATCCTCATGGGTTTGAAGAGATGGTTGTTCCAACTGAGACAGGAAAGAGCTGCTTTCAAAAAGGAAAATAAGGGAGAAAATAGTATTCAGCAATGAGTAGAGTGACTGTGTGGATGGGGAGCTTTCACAAAGCGTCAGACAGTTGTTAGAAGAAGCGGTTCAGGGCGCTCTTCCAGATGATTGGCAAGAACACAGACAATATGTATGTCACATTCATCAATATGTACATAAAAATCCATATACAGAGGCAGGCACACAGGTGTGCATACCATGCATAGACACTACCTACTCTGGACACACTTTCAGATGCCCACATGCCCACATAAGAACCAAGGGCCTCCTCCCTTACAGAAACACATCTCTGGGCAGATGCCTTGAGATGCTCATCTCAGACATACATGCCCCCTGACCCCAGCCTCCAGTGCCTGGTGTACAGGGCCTAACCTGCCCAGGCTCAGTAACAGCCCCACACATGAAGGTCTTGGCAGGTCTGCAGCCACCAAATGTGGTTAACACCATCCTAGTCTGTGGGCTTCTCTTTCTGACATTATGCACCCAGCAGCTGGAGAAATACTGGGTTGAGTTGAAATAGACTTTGTTATTGTCTTTGAATAGAGAGTTCTCTCTCTTATGGCAGAACGTATGTGTCTCTGGGTTCCCAGGGTTTGAGCTCTCACCTAGACAAGAAAGCACACCCTTCTCACTTTGTCCTCTATCTCAGCTACCCCTGCATTACAAAGCCCTTTGTGGGGGGTGGGTCCTCTTTCCAAAGGGCCTCCTGGGACCTTGTCACCATTCATAATGGCTCCTTGGCGGCATCCTGCCTTGGGCACCACTGACACCTGTATTGATGCCCATGTACCAAAGCCACACACCCACCTGGACACATCTCGCCTCCTCTGGCAGTAACTTACTTTTTAACAGGCTCCTGTCTGAAACCTGCAAGGTCCTTTGAGGAAGCAACTTTTCTCTATGGTGTTCTCACTCCCAACTAAGAACTCTTGGTCATGACTGACACACAACAGTCCCCTTCCCAGATGCTCTGGCAGTGTCTTCTGAGAAAATAGGGGTTTCTCAATCTACTTTGGATGATTATCAGAGACCCATGTGGTGCAGTCTTCAAAGGGAAACTCCCTCCCACTGGATAAACAGCTTCCTGTTGGTGAGAAATCTGATATCATACAAGAACTGTTGCTGAATCAGTGAATTGCCCTCTAGCCGAGGCTGGTATGTCTTACATTAAAATTAAATGAAAAGCAGAGTGAATCCGAATTGGTGTAAGACCAGAATCAGACTCTCACCTCACCTGGTGATTCAGTGGCAACTTTTTAGGTGAAAGCATAACAGAATGAGGAGGTTAGCCTTTCATGGCCATGTCGTGCACACTCTGTGCCCTCGGGGTGGCAGACTCCTGGTACTACTGCCTCAGCTGCTGTGCCTGTGAGCGCCTGGCCTAACCCCTCTCCTTTGAACAGCCCTTGGACCTCCAGTGAGCCCCAAGCATGGGTCGCATGACCTCATCTAACTGCCTTTCCATGGCTCTGTTGTTGACATAGAAGGAAAGGGCTGTTATCTCAAGTGTAGAGCTGGGAACACAGGCACACAGGTACTATGCCTTGTAATTCGTTGACTGAACAGAGAACAAGTGAAGAACTAGTTCATGGTCCCAAGTTCACGGTGCCCCAGGCAGGCCCCCCAGACGTTTGGTCAATGCTGTTTCTGGGGTAGGTACTAGACCTTTGTTGTCCTATGGATTCCACATAGAGATCAGGCCTAGGGAGGGGAGTGCAGGCAGGCTGGCCCCCACCCTCAGCTACAAGCCTGGGTCCTGTTTCTCCCGACTGGGAAGTGGCACTCAGCATGCCCTGTGGGAGCTGCCTGGGCTGTAGTTGGCAAGGCTCCAGGATCCCCGGCCCTGGGTCTGTGGCCACGGCTGCCTGCTCCCCTCCCTGTCCTCACTCTGTCATCAAGATCTGGTGGTTGTAGGTCTGGGGGGGTTGTTACTTCAGTCTGTCCAGCACTGTAGCATTTGAACTCAAAGTCCTACACTTCTAAGAATGACACCTGGCCAACCTTATTTCATTCTTTTCTGTTAATTAATCAAAACCTCACCAAGTGAACACTTATGGCAGTTCCCTTTGGCAAAGTTATAGTGATCAGAGATCACTTGAGACCTGTTCCTAGGAATTAGGATAAGAGCAAAGGCCTACATAGTTATTTCATACATACTTGTCATTATACATGCATGGGAAGATTCCAACCTTAGAGTGGAATACATGTGACCCTTGGCAGTCATGGAAGGAGAGTCCCTTCCACGTGGAAACCTGGACAGACTTTTACCATCTAGGAAGGCCCCTGAAAGTAATATGTGAATGCTGATTATTTCCCAGGACAGCAGCAGTATGGGACAACCTGGGGAAAGAATTTTGAAAAAGGTTTTTTTCCCCCATTGAAACTATTTAGGAGAATAGCAGTATGCAACTCAAAATTTGATCAAATCTTTGAAATTGACACCCTTCTCCCATAGTAGGCATCTTGAGAGGTCCCAGGTGGCTAGGTCTTGCTAAAGTGGGGATGATGCCTGAGCTTACTATACCCTCCCCTCATATGTCTGTGGGACATTACTGGGTCATAAGGACAAGCTGTGCCAAGGAAACCAAGGACCTGCACACATGCCTGCAGGAGGCCCATTGCCCAGGGCAGAGGCGTTGGCTTGCACCACTTGTGCCTGTAGGTTGTGCCTCAGTGCCTTGGCCTTTGACGGTTCACAGAGGCGGTCGCTTAGGGATGCCAGTGTGAGCACTGAGCATGAGAGCAGTCCAGGGAGGCTGGAAATCAAGCAGCAAACAATGGTCCTGTAATTCCCAAAGTGAGCTCTAAGGGCCACCCACATGGCTGTTCCCAAGCAGCTTGTTAGAAATACACCTCCCCAGCTCTGCTGCAGAGGTTCTGATTCACAGCTTTGTTGTTACGTGTTCATTAGGGTTTGAGAATGTGGTGTGGTGGCTGGTGTGAACCCAGAGGGAAAGCTGAGAATGTCCAAGGGACAGTGTGGGGTGCGGCTGCAGAGCACCTCAGGCACCGCTGGCTTGGGTACACAGGCTGCCCTCCTGAGCAGGTCTGGGTTCCAAAGGCCTTTGGCAGCCTCTGCCCAGGCAGTTTCACTTGCATCTTGGGGCGCAGACACCTTCTCTGGGTACCCCAGGGCTTCAAGCCTTTGTTGCTATAGCTCTGAAGCCAGGCCAGGGCAGGTTTGGACATGTTGAGAGCAAGATGAACCAGAGATGGGTCAAGCGAGAGAATGGTAGAATTGGGCTTCTGCACAACATTCCTGAAAGTTTTCATCTTTCTAGAGCTTTGACAATGGTGACTCTCGTTTGGACTCCAGTGAGTTCCTGAAGTTCGTGGAGCAGAACGAAACCGCCATCAACATCACCACCTACGCAGACCAGGAGAACAACAGGCTGCTTAGGTGAGTGGCGTGAGGGATCAGAGAGGCCCCACAGGGGCAGGCCGGGTAGGAGAGGGGATCTGACCCCTTCCTACCTGCAGAGGAGCCACCAGTGTCAACACAAAGCAGGAGTTCTGTCCTGGTCTGTTTTGAAAACATAATAAACTAAATCTCTTTCGCATCATGTATCTGATTAAATAATTTCTGTGTTTAGCCAGAATTTGCAAGGAATAGAAGAATCTGATTTTAAAATTGTCAAGGTCAAGGTCATATCACAGCCAAAAATGTTTCTGAGTGTTGTGGTTAATGTCTTAATGGTTAATGTTATGAAGAAATTTAATGTAATATCTAACTGTAGTTCTGAAATAGTTTTTGTCCTGATTTTTAAGTTTGTGTGATTTCATGTAAAGAACCCTAATTGTTACAAATATGAGCATGTCCCTCTCCTTTTCTGATTTTATTCCAGAGTAAATATTAATAAATTTAACCCCTGAAAAACTCATGGTGTCATTCCAGTATCTTTGGCGAGAGTTAGAAATTGGAAAAAGCACCTGTTTTGTCCAAAAGAATTAAGTGTGAAGCCCAGAATCTAGAAAGATTCTTCTTTACTAATAAATAGTCCATGGCCTTAAAGGGCAGTATCTGCAAATCGTCCATATTTTGATACCCTGAAATTAGATAATATTTTACAAGTTCAACACATGATCCTCATAACATCCCAGTGAAGGAGGGACTCTTTTTCCTCATTTTACAGATGAGAGAACAGGCTGAGGAAGGTTGAATTACTGAGCTCAAGGCCATTTGGACATAAGTGACCAAACCAGGGCTCAAATTCTGGCCAAAGAGGCAGTGAGGGAGCTGGGGCTAAACAAAGCTTTCCTGAAAGATCTCTTTAGCACAGTGATAGGGGTGATGCTTGCTTGAGCTCCATATTCATTCAAGTCACACATTCCTTTCATATCATCTGTTTTGATTTTCCTGGTTTGGTTGACTTGACACTTACATCATGGGGAAAGGCAATTGCTAGTGGAGGCTATATGGTAGCAAAAACATTTGTCAGAGTGCACAAAGCTGTTCAGGAAATTTCAGTCAACTTGAGAGGAACACTTGAATAGCTTGAATGATCTGTTGTCCGGTATAACAGAGTAAAAATTGGATCCTTACCAGAGTCAGTATGGGTGATGGTTGCAGGAGGTCAGTGTAGAAGGCCTCTCATTTAACAGTCACCTTCTTGGCTTCTGCAGAGGCCCGGGTGTGTGTGATCCTGGTGCCTAGTACCTTTCTCTGGGCATGAAGCTGAGTTCTTGGCTGACACTTCTCTGCCCTGTTTCCTTCCAGAGGCCTCTGTGTCGATGCTCTCATTGAACTGTCTGATGAAAATGCGGACTGGAAACTCAGCTTCCAAGAGTTCCTCAAGTGCCTCAACCCATCCTTCAACCCTCCAGAGAAGAGTATGCTTAACTTAAGAAATTGGGAGTTGCAGGGATGGGGGTAGTATTGTGGAGTGCCAAGCTAGAGAGAGGATTGATGGAACTTCCCAGAACTTGCCAAGAAAATTCCCTTCCCTGGTTCGAGACTGGGCTCCAGCCCATCGTCGCCATGTCAAGGTTAGGGTCCAAAAAACCTTTGGATTGATGGTGGCATTTGTTCAGATACAATGCCTCTGAGGCACAGACAGCTCTTGTCTTGGAAATGGGGAAGGTGCACAGCCTGTAGCCGAGACTTCCTGTTCTACCCTCCCGCTTAACTGTTGCCCCTGACTTCGGGTCCCAACAGAGTGTGCCCTGGAGGATGAAACGTATGCAGATGGAGCCGAGACCGAGGTGGAGTGTAACCGCTGTGTCTGTGCCTGCGGGAACTGGGTCTGCACAGCCATGACCTGTGATGGTGAGCTGGGCCTTGGGCACAAAGGAGCAGCAGCAGGGAGGGAGCTTCCTTTGTGAAAGCACCGTGGGAGAAGTCAGGCTGGGATTGATGGAGGAGAGTGCAAGGGAGCAAGGGAACTGGGGGAGCAAGTGACCAACTGAGACTTGTAATGTCGGAGCTCCCAGAGGGCAGCATTGAGGGCAAAGCACTGTGGCCAGATTTCAAACTAAAGTTTGAAAATCACGCAGGCTTGGAATAAAAGAGATTCAAGACCCAGGGTAAGATCAGATGTCGATAGGAAAGTGGAGTAGTAATAATGAAAGCAAACATTTAGGGAGAACTATGTTCCAGGGACTCTTCTAAGTACTTTACATATTAACCTGTGTAGTCCTTATAAGAGCTTAGGAAATCCTGTATGTGAAAGAGTCAGGTGGTTGGAAGACAGAGCAACTCCTCCTTGCCATCCATACCCTGCAGAGAAAGGAAGAAGTGTTTGTAGACTTTTGAATGAATGGATTGGGTAAAAAAAGAGATAGTTGAGACATGGGCAGGGTGGGTTGGGGAAATGGAGATGTCAGAAAGACTTTTGGGAGGCCGTTGCAGAAGCCAAATGGTGTGTTGGAGCCACTAGGGTCCTGGGCCACAGTGATGCCAAAGATTAAGAGAAACTCTTGAATCAAAACAAAGCTGGGGCCTGGGGAAAAACCAGGCACCATTCAGATTAGAGGCAAAATAGAGAAGGGTGAATGTAGGTCTAGAATGGAAAGTCACACTGGGTTTGGGAAGAAAGGTCAGTTGGAACGAACCAAACCCTAACTTTCTACCAGGTGAGGTAAACCTAAAACTATACCTTAAAAAGTCAGCTGACGCAAGAAATAGCAGGCTGGTCCTAAGGTCACGTTCAGGAAGGTTGGGTAAGATGGGAACTGGGAGACAGAGGTCAAGGACCCTGGAAGAGGTCCTTCTAGACCAGCAGCCCAGGACACATCAGCATTGAAAATGGAACCCTGCCCTCTCAGGAGACCAACCAACTCCAGAGACAAGTGGAAGAGTAGGGAAAGACTATTTAGAGACTAGAGATGCCAAGAAGTTGCTGGAAGTCAAGACTAAGCCAGGGTAGTCAGGCCAGCCCCACACAGTAGTTACTGAAGCTGAGATAGAACATCTCAAAGCAGTGCCCAGCCTGCCTTAATCAGGAAGCATCCTATGCTTGTTTTCCCCAAACTCTGTGCAGCAGCTCCCCATACCTAACTGCTCCATCGCTAAGATGCTGGCAGTTCACAAAAGCTGGTTTACAGAGTAAGCATGAGCATCTGGATAATAAGTCCCATCACATGTATTAGACGTGACCCAATGACCCCCAGTGAGACAGTGCCCTTCCCCAGCCTTTCTGTACTCCTCCTTCCTCCTGACAGCCCATGTCAGAGCCCTCTGGGTATAAATGGCACTCTAGATGGTGGTGCCTCTGAGGCCTGAGCACATCTTGGTGTGTGGGCCATGGATCTGAGAGAACATGGTAGAAGCAGCCTTCCAAGGTCAGTCAGTACCTGAAAGTCTGGTGTTAGCTCACACATCCCGGTGGAACAAAGAAAAAGGGGCCTCACAGTGTGAACCCAGGTGGAGCCGGAACTCAGGGAAACTGCCATGAGGGGCCGATTGCTGCTGAGGAGAAAAGGCGGGGCTGAGCAGTGTTTCCTAACAGCAGACACTGCTTCATAAATGTACAGATGCCTGGGCTCCATCCCAAACCTACTGAACCAAAATGCACAAAAGAACAGCTTGGAAATCTGTGTTTTTAAGGTGTATTCTTCGACTTTTTAAATTGCTGTGCAAGTTTGGGAAACATTGCAAGATGTGATGGTTATCTCAGGCTGCACTTTGGAATCACCAAGGGTGCATTTACAAAATCCTGGTGCCCAAGCCACACCTCACAACAATGAAATCAGACTCTGAAGGTAGAATCTAAGCAACTGTATTTTGAAACATTCTCAAGGACATTTTGAAGGCATGTGACTGGCTGAAAAGAACTTGCTGAGTCAGGATCCAGATTTTTTCCATTGCTTTTTCTATGGGGCCAGTTCCTGGCATGGATATGCTGGAATGGTTGAAGGAGACACTAGGAGACACAATAACCTCTCCTTCTATAGGTTAAGTGGGAGATATGAGAGCCTAAAAGGTGAATATTGGTGAGATCCCTAACTGGCTTTCCTCAGCAACCACTACTCTGAGCCTTGATTCTTCATGCAGGAAAGAATCAGAAGGAGGCCCAGAGCCAGACAGAGGAGGAGATGACCAGATACATCCAGGAGCTCCAGAAGCACCAGGTGAGTTGCACGTCCATGCTCGTCCAGGTATTGCTACTGCCAGCAGGCCCTCCCACCACTCAGACACCACCTCATCCCAGGTGACCCAGGAGCCATGCTTTTCAGTACGTAAGTCCTGAATGATGCACCTGTGGTATGAAACCATGATACAGACAGTTCCCTGATGGAGCCCTTGCAGGGCCCAGCAGATGCAGGTATAATTTTGTAAATTGCATCTGCTGGGCTCTGCAAGGCGGTGGTTTGCAAAGGGGTTTGCAAGTGAGTATGGTATGGTCTAAAGAAGTGTTTCTTTGTCCTGTCACAATGGTGCCCGGATCTGAAGATGGAGCTCCTTGAAGGCAGGCTCTTGGGTTTGCTCACCATCATGTCCCTGCCTTTAGCACAGGACCTGGCATATATTGGGTCTCATTAAGAATGAAATTAGTGAAATCTGGACCACAGCAGATAAAGATTTAAGTTAAATGCCAAGCTGGCTAGAAAATAGCCTGGGATTAACAATCAGGGAACTTAGGGGTTCTACTTCCTAGAGAGTTGAAAAGATAATAAATAAGAATTCTATTCAGTCATTAGTTCTGTTCAACGTATGTTATTAAATCAAAGGTCTTCTTGGGGAAAAGGCTCTTAGCATAATAGTGATCCACTGACCTGTTTTCCTAAGGGCCTGGATATGCAGGGCTGCTGGTTCTGTCTTTGCATTTTTTTACCGTGCGAAGGATATTGCACCTCAGATCACATGACCATAGACTGGGTCTGGTGATGGATACAAGCCTTCTCTCTGACACACATTTTTAAGGAATAAAGTAGTCACAGGAACTGCTAGATTATTGAGATGAAATATTTGACTTGAAAATAAAAAGTTAATAATAATTGCTCAAAGATAATAATAATTGCTCATACTTTTAGATTTTTTATATGTATTTTGTCATTATTGTCACAGAAAATACAGGAGCTTCATTTCAGTTTTTTAAACAAAACCGGAAACTCCTGCTCTTTTGTTTATCTGTATTTCAGCAGTCTCCAGATGAGTAAAACCACAGAAAAGAAAGTAGGTATTCCTTTCATCTAGGGTGGAGAGGTGATTAGAGTGGACAGTGGGGACTGAGTTATTATAGCCACGATTTTTAAGTGTCTCTGTTTTATGTGAATTGCCTGAGAAGCAGACATTAAGGCAAAGACACACGTATAGTTTATTTGGGAGTTAATGCCAGGAAACACCAGAAGGGGAGTTGGAAAGCGAGCCCAGGAAGGGAAGGAAACAGTAATGAGTGTGTGTCCAGGCAAGTCAGCTCTGTGGACAGGTGGGGCTTAGTCCCACTGTGGAACTCTGTTTAGAGTTACCGTGCCTGAGGGGGCAAGGAGCTGAGGTCATACCAGCCATTGGCTAATCAGCCAAGCTAACCAACTCTTACCAGCCATTGGCTGAGGGCTGCCACTAGCAGACATGAATTCCCTGGCATTTGTGGCCTGCCAGCATGTGTGAGCAGAGCAGGCTCCAGTAACCAGAGACAGCCTCTGGCGAGGAGATGCAGGTGCTGGCGGTGAGGAGCCATATGCTGGTGCACTGAGATGTGAAAGGCAGGGCTGTGGGTGGGGCACCAATGATGTCTACTATCGATTTTATTTCCTATTTAATATTTTTATTGGGATAAAATGTACCCTTTTAAAGTATACAGCCCAGTTTTTTTTGTATATTCACAAGATTGTCAGTCATCAACACTAATCCAGAATATTTTCATCATCCCTGAAAGAAACCCCAGAGCATTAAAAGTCTTATCTTTTCTCCTCCATCAGCCCCTGACCTACTTTCTAATTTACTTTCTAACTATAGAGTCTCCTATTCTGAACACATATAAATGAAATCTTATTAATACATGGCATTTTCTGTCTGATTTCTTTCATTTAGCATGATGTTTTCACGGCTTACTTACCCTTGTAGCACAAAGCAGTACTTGATTCCTTTTTATGGCTAAATAACATTCCATGGTATGGATGACATCACATTTTGTGTATCCATTTATCAGTCAATGGGTATTTAGGTCATTTTCAACTTTTGGCTATGATGAATAATGGTGCTATGAACATTTTTATACATGTTTTTGTGTGGACATGTTTTCAGTTCTTTTGCGTGTAATACCTAGGAGTGGAATTGCTGGGTCGAATGGCAATTCTGTGTTTAATCATGGGAGGACCCAATGGAGCTGCCCCGTTTTACATGCTCACTGGGAGTGTTCCACTTTTCCCACAAACTCGCCACCGTTTGTCGTGGTCCGTTATTTTTCATTTTAGCCATCTTGGTAGGTGTGAAGCAGCATCTCATGTAGTTTTGACTGGCATTTCCCTAATGCCTAACACTGTTAAGCATCTTCTCATGTGCTTGTTGGCTGTAAGAATGGCTTCTTTGGAGAAATGAGCCACTGTTGTTAAGAGGGCTACTTTATTACCCTCATTTTGTAGTTAAAGACATTGAGGCACAGAGGTTTCATAATATGTCGAGGACCTCTGGAAAGTACCGCGGCCAGAGTTCACGCTTGTGCAGTCTGCCTTTAGAGTGTTGCCCTTAGCACATTCCTGGACTTGCATTCAGAACATCCTGTGCTGCTTGCATGCAGAATCCTCATCATCATCTTTAATATGGGCCTAATAATGTCTGGCCTAGTTGTTTCTTAGGATTTCAAGTGGGGTCAGGTCTTAATTCAGTGACAACCCGTACATGACCGTGTCACAAATAAGACATGGTCCTTGCCCTCAAGTTGTTCTCAACTATGTAAGAGACAGACAGGTAAACAACTAAAATTTAGCATCGCATGTGTCTGTCAATGCTGTACAAAGTCTTGAGGGCTAGATAAATGCCTATGGTTTTTTAATATTTCATAATGCTTATTTTCTTTTGCTTCTCAAAGCAAACAGTTGAAAAGACCAAAAGAGTGAACATCAAAGAGATCTAAGGAGGAGGCGTCCAGGAACCGGGTCCCAAGCCCGGCCCTTCTCTTCCACTTCTGCGCTGAGTCCAGTATATGCAAGTGTCTGCTGCAATTGCCAAATCACCAGTATTTGCTTATATACCAATGAGTTTTATTTTGTCTATTTGTTTTGCAGTAAAGGAAATGGGGGTGGCTGGTTTGGAGGTGAAGGGCCATCGCCTTCATTTCTAAGACAGCTTTGAAACAGTATAAATGGTACTCCGGGGCTGGAAGCAAGTAAGGAAACTGCATCAGGGTTGGGAGGGGAGCAGACCAAGATCTGAACTACTTCTGAGCCTGCCGCAGAGATGACCAAGCTGCAGGGAGTACACTCAAGGCCAGAGAGAACTTAGCAGGCTGTCCCTTGACAAGCAGCTTGGAAGCTCAGTGGAGAACGTGTTCTGCATCTGGCCCTTCTGTTGCCATCAGCACGGCAGACGTCCGGCATCTGTGCTTCTCATGACCCCAGCCAATGGCTGCCTCTAGACACACAGCCATCCTGCTAGCCACCCAGTGTCCCCCAGTCTTGGAGTTTCTGGGAGGGTACACCCAAATGATGCAGGTACTTGTATCCTTTGAGGCCCTTGGAGACCTAACCAAATTTTTAAAATACTTTTTACCAAAGGTGCTATTTTTCTGTAAAACTTTTTTTGGCAAGTTGACTTCATTCTTTGATTATTATCATTATGTTATTGTTGTTGTGTAGTATCTTCTTGACTAGAAATTAAGCTTTGATAATTATTTTTCAGTAGTGCTCCCATTTCAGAGGTGGGAGGATTTGGGGTTCTTCCTGGGGCAGGGATTGCTGTAACCCAGACTCCCCCTAACCCTGCCACACACAAGATGCAGCCTGGAATTTGCCCCTTGGCTCCCAGTGAACCAACAGTTGGCCAGGGGAGCAGTGGGTGTCTCAGAAGCCAGGGGAAGAAGAAACATCTCCATACAAAGCTTTCAAGATCCAAAAAGCTAATTTGTTTTTGTTTATTCTGATTAGTTCAGGCCAAGCAGTATACCAAGATGGAGACTAGCATAGAAGCAAGGGTTAGACATCCCAGCCTGTCAGTGTGCTCACTGATCCACCACTGACTAGGAGAGTGACTTTGGCCCTGTCTCTTCTATTTCTGGGCCTCAGTTTCCTCAGTGAGTTGGTAGGAATACATTACCCTTTTGATTTGACAAATTACAAGTTTTGTGTTTCTGGTAATTGGTCCAGAAGGTGACAGGTTCCCATGATTTTCCTTCTTCTTAGGATAAGTGAAACCTTGTTGTTATACCAAGAAAGAGTCAGACAGCCACAATAAGAGACCAAATTTGACCTTAGGCTGAATGGCCCCACAGGTTATACTGTGATGTAGAGCCCTCTCGGGTAAAGCCTGCCTGAGAAGAGTGGAAAAGAAACACACACCACTTTGTCTTCACTTCTGCATTTCATCTCTAGCCTTGTTGGAAATAGAAATAGCTTTCCCTTTAGAGGTAGGCCAAAAGAAGCTTATACATTTCAAGAGCAGGGGGATATGGAAATTGAATCTTATAACTGCGACTGTGGATAAGTCAGTCGTTCCCGTCTTTTGACCTCTGTGATTGTTAACCCCTCTCAGTACCATGTTTTAGATGCATTTGGAGTAACAAAGATTAAAAACTTGACAGAAGATCTTTTCAGAAGGCAACTCTACAGACCAGAGGGAAATAATGTGTACTGTTCTGCACAGGCAACTCTGAGAAAGTTGTGCTGAAAATGGAATTCCTTCTAAACAAGTTTGTCTCCTTTCAAAGGAGCACCTTCCACGTTGTTGAGAGTTCTGTTTTTTATGTATCCCACTTAAAAGCTCTCTTGAAAGCCCACTTATGCAATCTGAAATGCTCCTCTGCATTCCAGCGCCTTGGAGAACTTGCAGCAGCATGCCTTGGTCAAGTTTTCCAGCCCTTGGATGCTGTGGAAGGGACGGCAGGAGTACCAGTTTGTTTAAAGCAAGAAGCTAGGGGCCCTCTTGGTGCAGTGGGCAGTGCGTCAGTCTCTTAAAGCAAGAAGCCAGAAGGTCTCCTCACAACTTAGACTTAGGACAGTGATTGCCATCCAGGACTACCTTCCCCTCCAACACTGAACTCCCCAGAGTAAATCTGCATTCTCTCCACCATCCCCCGACCCCTGCCCCAACCCCGGAAATAGGGACACTGTTGTTCACCCAAGAATCATATGATCTGATGACCATTTATGGAAAGCTGCTAAATAGCCTAGTTTGAGTCTTGCATAGAGCTTTGCATGGAGCAAAAAAATCAGGTTCAGTTCTTCCAGCTTTCTAAAAGCACAGGGCATAGACTGTAAACTTTCTTGGGCTTTCTCTGTGTGTATATGGTTTTGTAAACATGTTACAACATGTTAAGATTCAGTGTCCATGGAAACATAATCACATGCCATGACTCTGGACTCCATCACTGTATTTGGAAAGCAGGGCTCCTCCACCTGCTAATAAGCCCATGTGGACCAGTCTGAATGTCTTTCTTTATACTTATGTTTTTAAATAGTCAAATTTTTAGAAGCAGTTTGAAAGTGTTTCCGTTGCCCATGTGTTTGTGAAATGTGTTTGTATTTAGTAGGCTTCTATATGGCATTTAACTTGTTTTTGTAACTCCTGATTTTTTGGGGAGGGGATACTATTGATAAATAAAGAAATTAAAATAATTGTATTGGTTTCCTTCCCCCAAGTTAGGGCCAAATAAAGTTATGAGAACAGTAATAACCATTTACCCCATGAAAGTGGTTGGCTTTCAGGAGCCTTAAAAAAGGCTTGAAAGGTTTCTCCTAATAAAATCGGGGACCTGCGGCTGGGAGGGAATGGTTACCCAGGGGTTGATAGGGCTGGTTTATTTCAAAAAGTCATGGATGGTGAATCTGGAGTAGGAATTGATGAGGAGTCAGGGAGCATTCCTGAGTTGGGAAGAGGTTAAAATACATGACAGCTAAAGGTCCTCTGAGTCTTACGAGACTGGAATGGCAACAGGCAGCTGGCTGCATGTAAACCTGTATGAAAAGTCAAGAAAGCTTGGGAAGGTGATACAGGGAACATGCCAGCATCTGGTTGGATAACCTTAATGTCTTACCTGATACACATGTAAACTGGATAACATTTCCAAGTGGACTGAACATTGGCTGAGTAAGACCCTCTCTGTTCTGCTCCACCTGGGGAGACATGACCAATGCCTGCTTTCCATCTTCCCTAGTGATTCTTGGAGATATGCACTCCTCACCTCCACTAATTCTATCTGACAGAAGAGCTCTTAAGGGTTATGAGGTTTAAACTTTTAGTCACATCGTAGAAGTCTTGCTTCTCTAAAATAATAGCCAAGTCACCTGGATTGAATTTGACATTTTACCCAAACCTAATCAAATATTAAAAGGCAACCTCCAGTCGTGTTATTGCTACAGATTCCTAATCTTGTTAATCAGTTTGATTCTCCAAGTTTTCATTCTCAGAAGGGAATCTTCAACCCAATTTGAAAGGTACCTTGCCTACAACCACTTTTAAATACTGGCTGGCCTTTCTTCTACCATGCTTCGGGAGCACTTTTCTTTCTCTTGCAGTATGTATATGTTCAGGAAGTAAAAACAAATGAAAATAGCCTGAGAGAAGCATAATTCAGAAGATAAGTTTCCTATAATCAAAATGTAATGTCATGAGTTGTGCAAATTACTACAAATTGGTTGATTAGCTTTAGTTTGGGAGCACTTATGTCGATTTTCATTGGTCCTCTTGAATTAATGTCTGAAATAAGGGGAAGGAGGAAAGGTAAAGAATATGAATAAGTAGAACTAAGATTCCCTCAGAGTCCTGGAGGGACAAAAAAAAGTAAGGCCTGGGCTACTGCCAAGGGCTGTTTCATGATAGAAGCATCATGCTATTGCCTGATTGAGAGGGTCTTCAGTAATTCTGCTCCAGAATTACTTAAACTGAGCATGTCTGTTTCCCTACATTTTTGCAATCAGTGTGTCTTCAAACTTTTGGGCCTCTAGTAGAGGAAAAATGGTAATTTGTTGTTTTATTTTTTATTTATTTTATTCCTTTTGTGAGATTGAGCATCTTTCCATGAATTACTGGTTCTTGTCCCTTTTTTTCCTTCCCATTGCTCATTTTTCTGTTGGTTATTGGCTTTTCTCATGTTGGTTTGTAATAGCTCTTCATATATTGTTATTAGCCCTTTATCATGAGGGTGACAAGACCTAGCAGTAGTAGATTGGTTAGAAGGCCATTTCAGGAATGAGGTGAAAAAGGTGATTTGAATGAAGATGATGGCAGTGGAGGTTAACAGAAGGTTAAGGTAGCATTGATAGGGGTGGGCTATAGAACTGCCTATGAGAAGTCTCCAAGGTGGCAGCTTGGACAACCTGGTAGATAGTCATGCCATTTCCTGAGATTGGTAAGACAGCAGGAGAGGCCACTTGGCTGGGGAAGGGAGGAAGGAGGGAATGGGAGATGATGAATTTGGTTTTACATAGATTGAATCTGAGTTGCCTTAAGATATCCAAATGGAGACATCTTGTGATTGGTTGTATAGGAACATACTGGTAAAGATCTGGACTGGAAATAAAGATCTGGGATTAGACAGTATAGAGACAGTACAACTTTGTGTAGACAAGATGGCCTAGGGAGAATGTATCAAGTAAAAAAAAGAAAAGTTGAGTTGGGAGGGTCCATGATAAAGAGAACCCTTTTGAGAAACTATGTATTTCTCCTTCCTCATGACATCATTAACAAAGAGTATACATGATTAGAAAAATGGCACAGCAGGTTAGATTCATGTATGAGAGCACATGATGTAAAGAACTGAGATGGGAAATGAAATTGTGGGTTCTATTGAGAGGTTAAAACTGAGAAGGAACCACCATGCATGTATGGGTGTTGTACATGCATGTATGCATGCATGTATGTGTTGGAGCAACACAACTGGCTGGAAAATGGGTTAAAATGAATTGAGGAGAGAGGAACAGGAAATGCCCCCTGACGATTATCCCTGGAATGTACAGGTCATACCTGACCTGCTGTGGTTCAGTAAGAAAGAGGCTTCTAAAAAGAAGGTATTATCAGGAAAGGAAGAGACAAGATAGTTAATGAATAAGAATAAAATATTTAACCAGGAAACCTGTATAAAACTGTCAAGAGGATGAAACATGTTTGAAAGGAAATCTTTACCTTCAAAAAGAAAGGGATTTTATTCTCACAGATTCCAGCTTAGTTTTAAATTACACAAGTTAGTAGAAGTTGTCATTTTCCAAGAAACAGTAACAACTGAAAACAAAATGTTTGCTCCATAATTCTTCCACGAGGTTCCATAGATAAAGCTGGGACCCAGTAATATTCATATTCTCACATATTCTTTGTCTTTCATACATGTCAGTCATTACTAGTCTTAGGTTTCAACTTCTTTCTAACGGACCTGTATCGTTACATCATTCTTACTGTAGTTAATACCTTACTGAGCAACTATATGTTGTAATGTTAACAGCCAGGCTTCCTGGGTTTAAATCCTGTCTCTGCCTGTGCCCTCTATACTTCTGCAAGTTATTTAACCTCTCAGTGTCTCAGTTTCCTCTTTAAAAGGACATAATAATAGTATTTACCTCATCCTTTTTTTCTTTTCTTTTTTTGAAGATTCAATGAGCAAATGTATATAATTTTTTTTCAAAAAGTCTCTGGCACATAGAAAGTGTTATGTAAGTGTCAAGTGTCATTATTACCAATTATTTTCACCTATTGTACATTCCTCTAATTCTCACAGTGACCCTGTGAAAAAGATACTTCACAGATAAAGAACATACAGTTCATAAAGTTTAAGGAACTTGTCTAAGACCACACATCTAGCAAGGAACAGAGTAAGGATTCAAACCTGGGTCCCTCTTATGTTCATTTTACCATGCCATAATGCTTCCCTTTATTTTAAAAATCATCACATCAACCATTAATTCCTAATCGCTGTTCTCTATTATGTAATTATTGAGCTCATATAAATAATTCATAAGTCTCTTGGTTTAGTTCTAATACCTATCTGCATGTCCTCTTACTTTGGTTTCTTTCAAGTAGATAAGTTCATTCAGTTCAGGCCAGGTCTCTTAAGTTCCCTGAAATATGATACCCCAAGATGATACATCCAGATGTCAGTCTTCTAGTGCAGGTCTCCCAGTACACACCTCAAAGGTTTGGCCTAGTGAGAACTGACCTTAGGAATGCAGATGTCAACTCTGTACGATTGCACCAAGCTCCCCAGTGTGCCTTCTTCCTGGGACAGTCTATGTTGAGGTTTTAAAAGCAGACAAATGTCCTCTCTCCATTGAAAGAATTTCATCACCTGAATCCAGTGATTCAAAAACTTGGGTTTTGAGCCAATTAAAATCTCTGGTTTCTGGAAAATTTTCTATCTTTTCTCTTATATGCCCTTTCCTCCTCTCTACCATAACCTAAGCTTGTTTCCTACAAGGCCCGGGAAAGATACTGCACCTTGTCTCTCCTAAAGGAAGACAGGAGAACCTGTATAAAAAGCACAGAGACAAGAGAGATTTGGAAGGTGGGGTTTAAGAATAGAAGCCTCTGAAGTTAATTGGGCAAACAGAAAAAGTTCAAGAATTAGTCTTATATTTCTGACTTTACAAGATTTCCATAGCCTTTGCTCAGTAATGCACAGAGAACGCTTTTACAAATAGAATAATTCCCATCTATAATCAGCTTCAGGAAGAAAGCTCTTTTTCAGGTTCTCCTTTGTTTCAGCAAAGTGCCCATGTAACATCACTACTAAAAGCCAAAAAATCCAGCTTAGAGAAAATCTGTCCTGCCCTGAACTCAGCAAATTGTCACTGAAGCACCACAGTAATGAAATAATACAAAGTAGATGGTTCATCAGGCTTTTGATAATCTTTCACTTTGCAGTTAAGATTTTTAAATTTTATTCAGGGAATTTAACATGGGAAAGGTTTAAGGTCAAATAAAAGCAAATCTTATAAATAAAACAAAATTTAGAGATAAAGAAACAAGACTTCAACATACAGACCTAAAAGAAAGAAAATAGAAGAGATCCTATAATTTCTGTCAACAGCTGACATGCTGGACCTCTTACCTCTTTACTTTTCTTCTGTTGAGGACAAATAGGTGCCTAGGACAGAAAGAACATCATCCACAAGAGAAAATCAGGAGTTCTGATGGCTGAAGGCAAGACAGCTTGGTCCTCAGGCAGGTGTCACTCACATCTCTTAATAGTAGTCATGTGTATGAGGATACTTTCTCCCTGTAAAAAAGAAAGAAACACAGTAAGCTGGCGTGTTGTATTAGCAGCAAACCCTGCATTCAGCTACCATGTGTTTCTGAAAGTCACAGAGGAAAGGACAGTTGTGAAAAATGAATTCTCTCTGTTCCTGCTAAGAGCAGTAGCTTTCAGATAACTCTCATCCCCCATTAGCGGCTCTCCTTCATGTAAAGTAGAATATGGATTTACTCGTTCATTGATTTGACAGTGTTCTTTTGGGAACGATTAGAGAAATAAAAAGAGAAAAGGGAAATGAACAGGATGTTTCCTACCAACTTTCAGAGAGAGGAGGGAAGCAGAAGCACAATAGGCCATGGGCCTTGGACAAGCTCTACCATGTTTGTTAGGTCTGTGGTGCTGAGACACATGTAAGAGGAAAGGATATGGTCAGTCA